TGCCAACAATTGTATTATAAAATGAATACATTTTTACACAATCTTGCTAATTATACCTATTTGAAAATAGTGAAAGTCTGTGATTTAGAAGAGCCTAGATTCGATTCCTGCTATCCATTTTTATCAGCAAACCAAACTTTTAGAAAAGTAAGATATTTTGACCTTACCATATAAAAAAGTAACGTTCGTATAAAACAAAGAAGATGTAAGTTGATTAGTCAATTATAAGATAACTAGGCAAGTCAAATCTTAAGCTTTAATTTATCCTAAGTTATCTGCTCTGTGTAAATAGTTCGACTGTTCAAATTTAAGAAGTTATATATTTAAATAGCAAATATTGTTGTAGTAGAAAAAAAAAACAAGAAATTGTGTTTTAAATTTATTTTAGAATGTCGTATATTCTTATAGAGAAATTTAGGTTTATCTACAGAACTTGGCATCCATTTAGATCTCAATTCTTTTGCCGGCGAAGTCGACAACCACGTATATTCTTAATATTGAACTTGGCTTCCATTTTCACATTTATGTTTAATGGGATTCCTTAATTATTTAACTATGATACGCTTAGACTGTATTCAAAAGTTACTTGTGTTTTAATAAATCAATGACTATATAATAGATATCTAATGTATTGGAATCCTCAAAGTCTATTAGGATACAAAGTACATTAGGATCAATATAACTCAGGGAAAAGAAATGTGCCAGAAAAGTTGGCGTAATTTATCTATGCTATGTGCATTTCGATTTTAGGTAAATTACGGCATAAATGCTATTTAATATTTTATTGATTGTCTTCTTTTACAAAACAAAAATGTTACTTATTTCTTGACATTTTTTTTAAAATTCTGTTAACAGTAGATTGTGGACACAAAATAATTAACCTTTTAATAATGGTGAATCGCTTGGGAAAGCGATAAGGTACCGTGAGACTGTTGGACAAAGTGAAGGAAGTAAATGTTGTAAATGGCGCCTAATTGAGATGTACTTATGTTTTATAATCACTAATCTGATATCATCAAAGGTGATTAACCTCTGGAATTTAAACAATTTTGTAATTACTATATTTACAACCCTGGCTTCACTCTTATTTCCTGTATTTCTAATTTATAATAGTACTGTATAGTGTATATCGTATATATAACCTTTTATACAATTAGCTAAAACCTTTATCATCTCTGCCAGCCTATAATATTTTATATCAAAGATAAGAGAATTTTGCGCGCATTAGTCAAGAAAACACAAGTTTTAAAATGTAAGGTTTATGTGTAACATCCAAGGATATCAAATAAACCGAATCGAGGCCAACTTAATATGAATATCTTATAATCACCTCTTTTGAGTTATAAAGGGCTTATACCAAAGGGACGTAGGTATTTTGTCGTAATTAAGGTTAACATAGAGCCGATGTTTAATAAATAAACTAACATCAGATTATTGACGTTTAATCTCACGAAATGTTACTAAGGGGGAAGGCGGGATCGAAAAATCGCCAAGATTGTCTCACGTAATTAATGGATGCTCCCAAAGGGGTAAAATTTCAATTACTTAATTTGATAAAAAAACAGAGCAAGCTAAAACCGTTTAAAAACAACAAAAAAAACCTCAAAAAAAAGGTGACTTTTCTCATGGGTTCACGACCCAAACATAATAATAATGGGGATTTACTTCTAAAAAGGCGCCTGCGGATTTCTTTAAGTTTCGATTATACATCTATATGTACCTAAATGTTTATTGAACACATTATACACCACACAATTGACCAAAGATATTCATATGTAGAATTGCTTTTCAAATTGTCAACACTAATGAATCCGCGCATATAAAATAAGTATAAAAAATAATAAAAACCTTTTCAAACTTTGTTGACCTTTTTTATTTTTATACAGATAATAAATATCAAAATAAAGATTGCGTTACTTTTTGTAAATTTTGTAAAGTTTTTGTAAAGTAAATCTTAATTAACAAACATCATTATTATTCATACGAAGTTATACCAAGTTTTAAGTTATTACAAATTTACCCTTTCTTCTCATTAAAAATTTCGAATTTCGAGAAATACCTTCCGAAATGATGCCGAATACATAAAATTAAAAACCTATACCTTCGTCTTTCCAATATTTATCCTTAGCGGTTTTGGCTTAATTATACTTAGGCCATTGCCTTTTATAGTATATGTAAGTAAGATAAATAGTAACCTTGGTATTAAAGTGAATCTGTTTGCATTGTTAGTTTTAAGCCTACTCTACCTAATAAATTTTGACCTTTATTCCTAAACTGTGCCAACCGTAACAAGGTAGACTAAAGCTGTCGTGACAATGATGAAAAAATGAAGGTATTATTTCACTTGTTTAATTTACCGTGATAATGTAACGTAGAAAGTAAAAACATATTTAAATGTTCCGATGTTTTCCTACAAAACTAATTTAGAATATAATTGAAGACTAGCCTTTGCTGTATTAGCTACTATTCTTGATTTTGCTATTCATAGCGTTTATTTTCTTTAAAAAATAAGGAAAATTTTATGTAGGTATTAGTCGTAAAAATAACATTTTTTGAGAAAAAAACATGAATAAAATTATCTTATTTAATTTTTTTTTCATCATAATAAAATCTCTTTTTAGATATCATTTCGATTTTTTTTTCTATCGAGGAAACTACAAGTAATCGTGTTTCTAAAGTGTAATATTTATTGAATAAATCTTTAAAATATATCCTACATATTAATTACATAATTATAGTTTTAGTAATAACAATACAGCAAGGGATCAAACGAACGCAATTATTACGTAATTGCTTCGGTACGACAACGAATCCCTAACAATCAATAAAATGATTTTAAAATAAACAGTACGATCAGATTATTAAGTAATCTATACGTATAATAAAATTCTAACTAAGTCGAATCTGTACATTAAATATTTTTTTGGAAAATCTTATTAAAATAGTCATTATTATCGATACAGAGGCCAAATCTATAGTTTTTAGAATTTTTGTCTGTCTGTCTGTCTGTCTTTCTGTCTGTCTGTCTGTTTCCGGATCACGGAAAAACCACTGGAGGGGTTTTGATGAAATTTGGTATGGTGATAGCTGGTTATCTGGGTGAACATATAGGATACTTTTTACCGCGGGAAAATATCTCATTTCTAAGAAAAAATACAAAAACTGTAATGTAATAGTATACTAATATGTAAAACCTAAGTATTTAGTTTTTGGTCATCTGAACGCGGGCGGAGCCGCGGGCAATGCTAGTTGTTACATAATTTTTTGTCAATAGATAGAGATTAACGACCCTATAACGAGAAACGTTATACCATCTATACCAAGATACGTTACGACCGAAAATAATATGTATACGATCAATTAATTCTCCGTCTTCACTTCACGCTTAATAACCAGAGCGGAACCATTTTAGGAAAAAAACCGTTTACCAGTCTGGCTGCTAATTTGCATACAAGCATTTAATTGTTACGATCGATATCAGTATACGACTGTTTTAGAAATACGATCATAAAGTTCATCTAGCTTTCCCACTATGGCCCCAAAGTCTTTTAAAATCAGTATAGGTACAAAAAATGTTTTTTTTAAGACTTGGATGAAATTTTGTAGGTACATAGATGGACTATGACCTAGAGTAACCCATAGGCTGTTATGCACCAAGAGACGCTCTCGAGACTCGAGTGGAGCGATGATGTTGCTAGTCCATACTAATATTATAAATGTGAAAGTGTGTTTGTTTGTTTGTCCTTCTTTTACTTCGAAACGGAGTGACTGGAGAGTGACATAGGCTACGTTTTACCGCGGGAGATTGTCTTATTCCCACTTGAAAACAAGTTATAATACAACTCAAAAAAATATTTATGATCAGAATTATTTGAAACTTAGAATAAATGCATTTTAATACAATTAAATAAATACGTGTTTTAGCATTTCTCGAAATTCATACTACAAGAGGGTAAAATAGGGAATGAAAGTTTGTATGAAACTATCTTTTTAGAAATTTTATGTAGTTTTAACCCGAGCGAAGCCGCGGGTTCTGCTAGTACTACATAAAATGAAAAATAAAACTTTCCCATAATGTCCGCTAACCACCTTACAGGTGACCTCGATTGAAATCGTCTCGAATATTGGAAAGTGAAAAAAATCTTTTGGTCAATAAAACACCAAATACAAAGAAAAAAAAAACAAAAGTAGGGTAATTTCTGCTACTCATTACTATGGGTATTAACTAATATTAACTTTGCGGTTTTTTCCTATCACGTTTTATATAAATTTAAATATTTTGACGTGATCTGGGACGGTTGTCATATTTTCCACCTAAAGCGTTTCACCTAAATTGTAGTTTTGCTTCATATAATTTTAGTATTCGGATATCGTTATTGTTTGCAGTTCTTTTTTATAATTTTAGTTATTGTTCATATTATAATTTATATGATAACTAAATACTCAGCCTGAAAATTTGGCACTATGAATTTTTCACAACCACGATATAAATAAATCAATCCTCTACATTTTTCATTGAATAAAAAGTCAAAATGCAACCAAAAATTCTTAGTAAAAAAATCTTATAGATCTTTAACTTAATGCATCCTTTTACTTTAAAACTTATATGTAATTCCAGTGCCGGGTTTAACCTTAGCGCCGCCGCTGGGCATAGTAAAAAATGCCACCCTATTATCGAAATTTTGCATATAATGTCGAAAGATTAGTTTTTTTTATTATTAATTTTTTGAAAATTGCAATGAAATAATTTATAAACGATATCAATTTTTTGAAAAATGTACCTACTATTTAATCTTTTTTTTTTAAATAAAAAAAGCATTTTCGAGAGCGCGAAGAGATTTTTTTCCCCACCCTCCGAATTATGCCGCCCTGGGCTAGTGCCCCGAGTGTAAATCCAGGGCTGTGTAATTGATTATTGTTTCAAATTAAATCATATTTATTCTACTACTATGTACTTCTCTTAAACATAGTTTCTAATTAGTAATTAGCTCAAAAGTAAAATGTTAACTCGAACAATAATACGTGAAACAAAGATTTTAATTGTTCCTTCTACAAGTTTGAATGCTCATTGTTCCAGGTTCCGGCTGCACTTGCTCAAGACTATGACGGTAAGTAGGTAGGAAGCACCATGTACTCTACAACTTTAAACTGTTGTATATACATATATATATATATATATATATATATATATATATATATATATATACATATACATATATATAAATATATATGCAAAATAACAGAGATTACTCTGAATGATACTAAAAACTTAAAAAAGTAAGTAAAAATACTTAATCCAAATGTAAGTACGAGTATAATAAAAATGAAATGCTGTTTTTTGGCAAGCGCATTATTTGAGAAAGGCTGGACCGATTTGGCTTAGTTTACTTTTCAAAGGCTACAAACAAATGGTACTACTTAATATAATATATATATATATATATATATATATATATATATATATATATATATATGAATATTTTAGTTTATTTCTATGTATTTACTTTACTTATTACAGTAACCGACATCCAATGCACATTTGCCAGCGGAGGCCCCGGCATTCGTGACTCCGTGAGCGCTCTACTGAGAAAGCCGGAAGGCTTCCGAGGCGCCCCGCTCTTCGCTGACGACCGCGTTACTGACCCCATTGCAGACCCTGTGTGCCAAATACGACCAGAGCCTGAGGACCCCACCGGCTTGTTATACAGATTGCGGATAAATGATTTCACTAAATGCGGAGTTTTAAAGAGAAATGTACGTATTTTTGTGATCTTTAAGTTATTCTATCCTAATTGGGGGGCACGGCAGTGCCCCCGCCAAGTCGAGCAAACAAGTCGAGCAAAAAAGGGCACGGCAGTAACATCCTTTTCTCGAAGGGATTCAGAGCATTTTCCACCCCACCATAACTTCGTTATGGATAAAGCTAGAAGCTTGAATTTTGAGTGACTAAGAGAAGATCCCATCAAAAACATACTGTAAAAATATTGCAAGTCTCGCAACGCATCTCTCTACCGCAAAAAGCTATGAGATATAATGTAAAACCAAGTCGGTTAATTTATTCATTACCTATCTATGGAAGCATCTATCCGACAACTTTGTCATAAATCGTTACCGAATTAGTTAAGTTACAACAGTTTATAGTGACCGTATTAATATTAGATATATTTATTTCTTTAATTAATAGAATGACTTGGCCATCGCACATGATAACAGAACCTACAAATAACAAAATTTACCTAATATTAACGTTCTGAGTGCATTATTTATGTATTGTTAGTGTATGCATTAATTTGACCCGCTAGTACTATGTTCCGTTCATTTCAGCCCAAACACGTCCACAGCTGGGCATAGGCCTCCCCCAAAAATTTCCACGACAACCAGTCTTGTGCCATCCGCATCCAGTGGGCTCCAGCGACTTTGACCAAGTCGTCCGTCCACCTTGGTCATGGTATTTTTAATTAGGACTATTTAAAGTAGTCGACTCTTATGTGATTATTTTTCCGTGCGATGGCCAAGTCACTCTATTAATTAAAGAAATAAATATATCTAATATTAATACGGTCACTACAAAATGTTGTAACTTAACTAATTCGGTAACGATTTATGACAAAGTTGTCGGATAGATGCTTCCATAGATAGGTAATGAATAAATTAACCGACTTGGTTTTACATTATATCTCATAGCTTTTTGCGGTAGAGAGATGCGTTGCGAGACTTGCAATATTTTTACAGTATGTTTTTGATGGGATCTATAGAATTTCTCAAAGTGATATATATACCTATATGAAATTTTAGAGTTTGAAATGGAGCTGGATGTTCGTGTCAAGATTTATTTTATTTTATACTAGCATTGCCCGCTGCTCCTCCCGCGTTCAGATGACCAAAAACCAAATCAAATCAAAATAAATCAAATTCTTAGGTTTTATAGATTAGTATACTCTTACAATGTAGTTTTTGTGTTTTTGTATTTTTTCTCAGAAAGGAGATATTTTCCCGCGGTAAAAAGTATCCTATATGTTGACTCGGATAACCAGCTATTATCATACCAAATTTCATCAAAATCTGGCCAGTGGTTTTTTCGTGATGCGGTAACAGACAGACAGACACACAAAAATTCTAAAAACTATAGATTCGGACTCTGTATCGATAATAATGTCTATTTCAATAAGATTTCCCAAAAAAAATTAATGTACAGATTCGACTTAGTTACAATTTTATTATATGTATAGACTAGTTTCCATATCAAGAAACTAAATTGTATAAATCATATCACATAGGTACACATCATAAATAATGAGATCGTTAAGGATTCGTATAATACAGACCTATTTATCAGGTTTTGCTCATTAAAAAATATTTAGGAAATTATATTGTGTATCTACTCCAATACATAAATGCCACTAACAAATAAGTGTGAGTAACTGCGCTATAATATTTGTAGCTTCCGTCTATACTAGCTGTTGGCCGCGGTTCCATTCGCGTAGTTCTTCAGTGAATAGGCTATAAAAATACAAAAAAATATATTTGAAACAATGGTTTGTAATTTATATCGATAGATGAAAAATCGGGAATGTTTTTTACTTTTTAATGCTATAATAGCTCTAAGGAGTAAAATTCGAAACAATTTTCCACGTAAGCTGTTTTATCGACACTCAAGCAGAGCCGTGGGTAAAAATAGTATATTATAAATACAACACAATTCTGCTACAATTCTATTCATACGAAATACAACTAAACTATCATCATTTATCTTATTGAATAAAAAATACTGTAATTTACGAAGCTCTATCAGCAATCTTGTTTCTTTGAAAATTGAAGGAAATAATAACAGCTGTCACAAAACGATAATGCTTTTTTCATTACGTCCATTCTCACTCTACGTTGCGGAAACAAAGTAATGATGTGACAATTTTATATAAATTTTCGTTTCGTCATTGCGTATTCTTCTTCTATCATTGACGTTAATAGCAATGCCGTTACAATAACAGTATGCAGTGCTTAGTGGGCTATAGACAACGAGGCACCTACTCTACTCCACTGGTATACTATTAACTGGAGGCCGAACACCGGTAATATGGGGGAAACTAAAAGACATGTTAAACATAGTACTCTCGCCGTACAAGCGGTAACGACTGATATTACACGTCTATCTATACATATAATAAAATTGTAACTAAGCCGAATCTGTACATTAAATGTTTTTTGGAACGTCTTATTGAGATAAACATTATTATCGATACAGAGGCCGAATCTATAGTTTTTAGAATTTTTATCTGTCTGTCTGTCTGTTTGTCTGTCTATCTGTCTGTTACCTTATTACAGAAAAACCATTGGAGGGATTTTGATGAAATTTGGTATGGTGATGGCTGGTTATCCGGGTCAACATATATGATATTTTTTACCCTGGGAAAATATCTCATTTCTGAGAAAAAGTACAAAAACTGCATTGTAAGAATATACCTACTAATATGTAAAAACCTAAGAATTTGGTTTTTGGTCATCTAAACGCGGGCGGAGCCGCGGGCAATGCTAGTATAATATATATCCATAGGATAGGACTAAGTTATAAAATCAAGATCTTTTTTATTTTATTTCAATTTTTAATTTTTTTGTTTTCAATTTTAGGGTTCGTGCTGGGGTTGTCCCCTATTTAATTTTATTTATACATTATCTAAAATTAAACCAACCAGACCAAAAATTTAGCCTTTTACTTAAATTATAGAATTTAAAACTCAACTTCTTCTTTATAAAGCATACTTATTTTTATTTATTTCTATTTTAATTATATATCATAATACCTTGTGGCATTTAAGATTTTACATATTTTACAAATAATTATTTTATTGTGTTTACAACATATTTAGCATGCACTCCTTTGTTACGTAGGGCTTCGTGCACGTGCGCATCTGGTTCCCTCAATTTCCGGGCGTGGTAATGCAGTCGGATCAAGAACTGATCATTATGTGCAAGCCGCCAGAGCCAACTATCATCGAAAACAAGGCCGCAGGTTTTGCCGGTAGCTTGTGAGTATTATATAAGAAAAAAAATTGGAAATGAAACGTTATAATCGTTTTTCGATTTTCATATCGTAATTTTTGACTACATATAAGTTATTATACAATGAAATTCTGCAGTTTATTAAGTTTTCTATGTACATATACATATATCCACAGCCAAATTGTTTTGTTCAATAAATAATTTCAAAATTGCGAACATTCACTCGACTATGGGCACTGTTCTGTAATTCCAAAATGATTACTTAGGGCAATCGCCTCTTTGCTTCACCATGGGTGGTAAAATTTGCACGGCTGCGAACTCCAACGGTATGCTAACTACTGGCATGCGAGCTGCTATTAGAACCACGTTACACAAACTAGCAACTTTAACCGGCCAGTACCATCTACTTGCTATACTTCTGATCGGTAAAATCATTATTGGCATCACCTAAGGGTCTAAGCACACCGCGTTTGATAAACGCGTCTTCGCTAGTAAATTTGAAATGCAAACATATTATAACAATGCACTTGCATTCATAAGTACAAGTTTAAGAAAATAATTCCATATGCAGCTATGACCCCTTTACCTTCCTTGACAATGTATTTCTATGTCTGTTTAATTGTGCTTTATCAAATAGATATAACGGATTGTGGTATTTTTTGCATGAAGATAATTTATGATCCGGAAAGCAACTTAGTTACTTTATAATGTTTTCTGTGGGATAAAACTACAAGACTGTAAAAAGTTATTTGATAAAGTGTCACTAGTTTTATTATATAAGTATGAACTCCGATCTTGGCATAAATGTGATTTTTCTAATGTTATCTAGTCCGCACGGCGCTCGAGTCTCGGGTGTGGTCGAGGAGACCCCTGGTCGCCTGGAGTACGAAGTAGCGTTATATAAAGAAGCACCGCCAGTGTCACGACATTCAAATCATTCCCTCGACATGCCTGTCGATCAGGTAAATACTGTACGTAAATTTATGCACCATTTATTATAAAATAATATTAAATTATAATCTATCACTGAACTTAAGACACACAATTTCTTAAACAGCACGCATGATTTAGTTTTTTCTTTACTACAATAATAGAACTAATTTTCAGTTTAATATTATAAGTTTATATTATGCCTTAAACTATTTCATTTCCTAGCTCCATGTTTTAATTCAATAGGCTGTACCAATCGGAACAAAATTACAACTCCGAGCACGTATCAACCCTGACTCAGCGTGGCGTCACATCAAACTTCTGGAAGTGGCAGTCTCCCCCGATCCTGATCGACCGCACGCGCCTGGCGCCGTGCTACTGGTTAAAGATGGGTAGGATGTTTGTTACGTTAATTAATATAATTGATCAAAGTATGAAAGTGGTGAAAAAATTACTGGCATTAGATAATTTTATATATCTAAATCTAAAATGTACCTACTGGTCATCGCAACTTGGGTCCTTTCCGCAATAAACAATAGCATTCCCAAGGAGGGTTGACGTCAGGCAGGCGGCCGGTCGTAAAACTTTTGCCAAATCTAATTAGCAGTACGGAAGATGTACTGCGCCGACACCAAGTGATTGGGAAATGGGCAGGGAAAGTATTTTTTTTCATCTGTACAGGGCAAATATATGTTATTGTTACTTTAGCATTTTCTAAGGTATACATTATTTATTATATTCTATTGAAATCAGTTCAATCCAGCTAGCACAAACTTACCAGCTTCCGCGCGTCGACCTCGCTAATCGTCATGTTATCATTTACATAGATTAGTTTTGGAAATAAATCAAGTGTTACCAAATCTACTCTATTATGTCTAACATCAAGTGGTACAGTTCTATATTGTCATTTGTTCCTTATAGTGTTTTTCCTTCATCAAAATATTATCTAGATACTTTGTTATTATATTTATATGAAAACGGGATGGCAATACAATAATTATTAATTTGATGCTATCGATGTGAACTGAAGATAGAGCCCGGAGGTGGATAGTGGTACCTCTTTTGCTAATAGTAAGTAAACACCAGGAGATTGGTTTCATTTAGTTTGTTTTAAGTTGCATATATGTACATATTACAGTAGGTCAAAGCATGTTTTATTGGATTATTATTATTATTTACTAGATACTCACCCCCGCTTCGCTCGGGTTCGTCCCTATAAGGTACGTTTTATCGGTTAGTATCTATGAAATAGATAGACTATATTATTATATATTTACATAGGTGTGATGAGTTGTTGTGGGGTTGTAATATAACGAGGTTTCCCGTGGGAATGAAATAATCTCTCGCGAAAAAAGTCTGTTGTTGTATCTAAGTCTGTCACTCTCCAGCCCCCAACTATCTCCACACAAAAAACATGCCAATCGTCATTGTGATTCGATGTGGAAAAAGGACAAACAAACAATCAAACACACTTTCACATTTATAATATTAAATATGTATTTTTACAGATGCCGCAATAAAGATTTTGCCTCTATAATCCCACATCAGCCAGCGCGTTATCGAGAGCGCCATAACGAGGTGTTTTTAGACTTTGAAGCTTTCTTACTCGCATCTATGAAAGAACGTTCCACTCTGTGGATACATTCACAAATCAAAGCTTGTATGGACGTAGCAGACTGTCAGCCTGACTACTGTCTTGATCTATATGAACCTTCTGGTAAGATAAATCCAGAAACTTTAAAAAATCTGTATATTTCTTATATATTTTTTCCATTAACAATACTATTGATATTTTAGGTCATGGTCGTAAACGCAGATCGCTCCCTGATGTAAGCCACTCAAACAACGTCACCGCATCGTCATTGACAACGGATAATAGTTCCATTCCTTTCACTAGGTTTAAAGAGAACCTCGAATACACAGTAGTGATGCCGGGGGAGCTCTTCCACAGAACACCAATAGAAGCAACGTGCGCTACTTCCATGATGGTCGCTGTAGCTTTAGGCGCATTGTTGTTTATGTCTGCACTCTTGGTGAGTAGTTATTACTAGCAAGCTATGAGCAGATTTCCTATCGACATATCGTAGAATAACTTTAACCATTGTATTCAGCCCTTTTTAACATCCCACTGCTGGGCACGGGCCTCCCTTCAATACGAGGGGGATCAGGGTATAGTCCACCAAGCTGGCTAAGTGTGTGTTAGCGAACTTAAATGTCTTTCGAAAATTGCTAGGTTGTCTTAGACATGCAGGTCTCCTCACGATGTTTTCCTTCACTGTAAGCCAAGTGATAATCATGTTAGAAATCATTCGCACATAAAAATATCAGAGGTGCGAAACCCGGGATTTGAACCCGCTTCACTCGGTTTCCCAAGCGAGCGCGTTACCAATAAAACCATGATTAAGTATGTCGTATCATGAATATAATATTAATTAAGGGCAAAATATATAGATAGTGTCTATTAGAAACTGCTTTCGTTAATTCGGAAAGCTACCGCCAGTGTTTTATTATCGGTAAAAATATTAAACCTACCGTATTAAGAGCTTAATAACAAAATTGTAATAATTTTACCATCGAATCTAACCATATAATGCAGCAAACGCTAAAATGCATGCCTCAAAGATCGTTAACTCTTGATTTTTGCTAAATAAGAGAAAACAGGCGAAAGCGATATATAACTAATAGACATTATAACTATGTCTAATAATAAAATTATGAGTAAAATCTGTACATATTTTTTGGAATAAGCTTATTGAAATAGTCATTAATATTGATCGAGGCCGAATCTATAGTTATTAGAATTTTTGTCTGTGTCTCTGTCTGTGACCGCATCACGAGAAAACCACTGGACAGATTTTGTTGAAATATGGAATTATGATAGCTGGTTATCCGGGTTAACATATAGGATACTTCTTACTGCAGAAAAATATCTCATCTCTGAGAAATCTATTCTAAACGTTAAAACGTAAATAGTTAATTAATAGAGTTGCTAGTTTAAGATATATTTATAATTTAATCTTTACAGATGTGCTACCTTGCAACAAAGTTAAATTCAACGATGCTAAAAAATAATAACATTCATGCGCCATCAGGAAAAGGTTTCGAACAAATATTAAGGGAACTTGCACAGCACTCTCTCCCGGATGCTGGTTACACGGGCCGACCCACCGTACAATAACAGTTAGCTCTTAGACAAAATTTGTAAAATACAGTCTTAATCTTTGGCTATCTCATTCTCAGTTACATTCATATATAGAGAATAATGTATAAATAAATTTTAAGCCTCATGTCTGTCTTTTGCTAATAGAATGGAAACTTCGATAATTTAATATACAGGAGCATTTTATTCACTACAGGCTACAGGTATTTGTGACACTGGCTTACACGAGTTTAGTTGTTATTACTTTTAAAAGACTAAGTTAAGAATAATTTATAAAACATACATATTGAAAACTGTTGATCTTATGACTGAAAAATATAAAGTTATTAAAAATAATTTAAAACTTTTTCAGTCATGACTGTCACATAAATTATTTTAATATTTAAACTAGAAATAATTTAGTTTAAAATTTCAATAATGAATAATAATAAATAACGTATTTTTAAATAGGTTAGTATAGTATAATTACAAATGTTTTCATTGTGATTCTAATAAAAAAAAACTTTTATTAAAGTTGTTTTTATTCTTTACCATTTAATTTCACAAAAAGCTATTAGTAATGTAAACTGTGAGTATAAAATGTACATAAATATATCGACTGCATTTTATATATTAAATATTTAAATTGTTTTGTAATCAAACCTCCAAAGGGGAACCTTTTTATCCGACGATTTTCCCTGATAAGTACTAAACGGCATAACCAATTTGGCTAATACATATGTCATTAAATAATAGATTCCTCTTGATAACGCGAGTACCTATCATAGGATAAATAGATATCATTAAAAATCATAATGGCGGATGTGTAGTTAGAAAAAAAAATCGTCCGAATCAATCGAGTGAGGTATAAAAAGGATTTTAAGAGGTAATTAAAAATATATGGAACATAATATGTTTTAAAGTGATTTGGGACAAGAAATTGTTAATTAAAATTCTAAATGTCTGACTGGCTAGAATTTTTTTATTTCTAGCCAGTCAGACATTTGGAATGAGAACAAGTTGACGAAAAAACATAAGTAGTAAGTATGTTCTCATCTTTTAGTCCGCTTTTTACGCAGTGCATTTTAATTTTGATATTTTTTTAAATTTGTCCTAGACCTTTTCTCCGTTAGTCATAGTCGTGTTACTTGAAGACTTTTGCTACCATACAGCATTACTACATTATTAATTAATTATATATAAATGAAATAAGAATGGCAGTCCTTACAACTGAAGAGTGAGAGTTCTATTGAATTTGAGCATAACCGTGTTGAAATGTAAGTATCATATGAGGTCTAAAAAATTCACTCAATATGTTAATGTTTTAAGCTATTTTTTATTTAAGTCAATATACTCTTCCAAAGGCGTAAATATTGTTTCTAAAACTTACATTGAACGTAAATTAATATTTTTTTATCATAAGAATCTATTTAATATTTCTCTTAGAAGAACTAATAAGAAAAATAATTAAGGTATATTGTGGCTCATTAATCTATATTAATTATATTTTTAAACTGTGGTTTAGGTGACACTTGATGGCTGAATCCTGAATCCATTTGCCTTTGTTAAATGTTAGTGTCAAGTGTCAACTGTCACTGTCAAAATTTATCTTCAGTCAAAAATATTGTTATTTCAATTTGAAATATTATGTTACTTTTATGATATTTCATAATTATTTAAAAATAGTTGTACATTTATAAAATGAACAAATCTAAAAAGCATTGGTCTTTGGGATTACTTGAATCAATGAAAGATCCCACAGCTGTTGTTAAAGAAACTGAAAAGATTGTTGTCATACGTGATAAGTATCCCAAAGCAAAGATACACTATCTAGTTTTACCTCATGAAAAAATAAATAGTATTTATAATTTAAATAAAACACATATTGATCTACTAAATGAATTTGGTTCAATTTTTGAAGCACTTAAAGAAGATCATGGAAACTTGGAACTTCGAGCTGGTTTTCACGCTATTCCTAGCATGCAAAGACTTCATATGCATGTCATCAGTCAGGATATGAATTCCACATGCCTTAAAACTAAAGTTCATTGGAATAGTTTCACAACAAAAATTTTTATACCTTACAATGGTATGAAATCATAGACATTGTAGTAAAATTTAATTTTACTATTTTCATTCAATACATACAAATTCTTTGTTTCAGAATTACTGAAAAAAATTAAAGAGGATGGTTATATAGATAGAATATCAAGTGATACACACAAGTCCCTGATGTCATTACCACTTAAGTGTAATCAATGTAACTTTGAACCAAAAAATATGCCTCAACTTAAGCAGCATTTGTTAAGTCACATTAAAGACTGAAAAAAATATTTATAATTACTATCAATTTTAATAAAAATATAATATTATACTAATATATTACACATCATAATTCTATTAGTTAATAAAGTGTAGCTATTATTTGCTCTTTTGAACATAGTATTACATACTTTAGTTTTTTGATTTTATTTCATTCTATCATACTTTAAGAACAATTTTAATTTCATTGCACTTTATTGATTGCTAAAATATAAAAAGTTTTTTTTTTAGTTCAAATGAAATATTGTGACTGATCTAAAGCTCTAAGTTTAAAAAAAAATTAAGCTTAACTAAATAATTGATAAAATTATATTTTATTTAAAAACTATGAAGTTTCATTTGTCTTAAAACCATGTACAATGTAAACATACACATACATGAAAAAATACTTAATTTCATATTTAATAGTTCATGATTTTCATCTAATTTACCTAAAGTATTAGTTATTTACTTATATTTATAACTCATTACTTCTACAAGGAAGTTTACTTGAGTGTGGACTACTTAACTCTGTTGGTGTGTTATTCGCATTTGTATTAAATTCATCTTCTTCTGGTGTATACATTGAAAGATTGCGTCTTTTGAAAACTTTTTTAATGGCACTTGGAGGTGTCATGCAATCTGATGTATTATGGTCATTATCAGATAAAAAACTGCTTTCTGGAGTAAATGTTGTGTTTTGTGATATTTCACAATTTGACTCATTTTCATGAATGCTAGGGGTGACAGGCGCTGGAAGTGACAGCTTTGGTAGCTTTATAGGAGCATTTTCTACTAATTCATTATAATTAATATTAACATCATTACTTTTACTGTTAGAAATTTCATTTTCTACGGCAGGTGGTTTCATTGCTCTACCTGATCTGGCCATTACCACCTGTATGGGATCATCAATTCCCAATTTCTCACAAATATATGTTGTCTGTGGATTCACTATAGGATCAGTGGGTGCTATTTTTCGAGATCCTGGCTTAAATACAGGAGCAGTCTTTACAAATACGTTACTATTTATTGTTAATGTTTTCAATAATTTTTCTATTGATTCCTTTTCTTCTATTGTGGGTGTGAAATCAAATCTACAAAAGAAAAGAATAAGAATATTAAGTATATTATTATGTATAAGAATTAATATTTTTAGTAACAATAATACTAAGTCTACATTAACAAATAAAATTTTTAATTTTATTAATCTATTATGTATAATAAAAATATTTACCGCTCATTGCCTCCTGGTCCTGGTAAATGACAATCAATATTTTTCACAGAAAGAAGGTGATTAGTATTTTTTAAAACTGCCAACCATTCAGCATCATACTTAAGAAGTTTATCACCATCATACTCAGAAGGCAAGTCTAATATTTGCAGATGTCTTCTTTTCGGTAAGCATTTATCAAGAGCCAAAAATTTTGTTTCTTCATTATTTTCATGTTTCACCAATGCTGCAAATTGGCAATGCAGATGTGCAGCAAACCAATATTGAGGTTTAAGAGTATGTAGTAATTTCTCTGCAGGTGGGCTACCTAATTGGTTGGATTCTATATCCTCCCTAAAAATAAAGAAATTGCATTGTTTTAATAAAAAATAAGTACAGAAATTGATTTAGATAATATAAAATATCATGAATTTTATACTTACCGAAAAAATGGTTTTCGTCTTAATAAATTTTCTTGATCACCATAATTAGTTATTCCTCTTGGCCAATCATGTGATAACATAACATGAATTTTATCTTTTATTTGACCGAGACGAAAAACGTCTATTGCTCTTACATGATAGACTGATCTTAATGAATTTTGAGTATAAGGAGGGCACTCCCAAAGTCCTTGTAAATAATCATGGCCTTTATAAATTCCAGACAATCCTGAAAAATATGTTATACTTGTATGTAAAAAAAATCTTTATTATTTTAGTTATATATTAAATAATGTTCATACATACCACCTATTCGTAAATTTCCAAATCTAATAACACCAACTCTACCCATATAGAAAATATTTGGAGCCACCCAACCCCCATATGGCAGTTCTTGTAGATAATTAGATGCTTCATGGTTTCCTCCAATAAATATGGTTAAAACGGGTGCTTCTTTCTCTCCACTATAATATCTAAATAATATATCATCATTAATACATAATTAGAAATGTAAGTATACTATAATGTAAGCATTTAGTAAGACTTAATCCTATATAAACTTACTTATAAAAGGTGCAAATATTCTGATATTTTTCTGGCACTGCCATTGCCCGTAAATCATCATTATTACGTACAGACTGAAAATCTCCACAACAAATTAATAAGTCAATTTTTATACTTTCTCTGTTTTGAATAGTTTCAATACATTCGTAAATTTTATCTAATTCGCCGTGGGCACATCCTTCTACGGCTATTTTCATTTTACTTGTGTTTTATTTGACTAGAATAATAAAATCTCTTAAATTAAGTTTATAATTTAAAAGTTATATTTATAACCTTAATTATATTCTAAATGTTTACGAAATTTAATTTTGAGTTTTGACAACTGACATACATATATGACGCTAACATAGAGTAGGGCACAAACTAAAAAAGAATAAAGTTATATATTAGATAAACACAAAATCATTTACAACAAGACTATGCACATCTGTATATATAGTCTGTGAGCATTTGTTTAATAGTTAATTATTATTGGTAAAAAATTAGTAAAAATATAAAAATATGAAAGCTGACCAGCCAAATTGTATAAACTATATTGCCATGGTATAGCCACACATGATCGCCAATAGACCGAATGTGGAAGAATTTTGTCCCGTCAGATGACGCAATCACTATAGCCCTCAGTATTTGTTGTTCCTGGTCTGTGCTCATTATATTGCAAAGCTCTATAGCCTGGATAGATTTTTTTTTTAATTTATTTTTATTTTATATAAATTTAACTAAAATGACAAATTGTGCAGTAACAGGATGCAAAGAAAATGGATATCATTTGTTCTTAAAAGACAAAAACTGAAGAAATTCTGAGCTAAAGCAATAAGACGATCAAAATTGGCGAAAGAATTCTTTCTTATCGGATGCCTACATTATAAGGAATACGTCATCCAAATTTCATGTTTTTACGACTACTGGTTAGTCTGTGTGTTGATCCCCATCAGTCAGTCAGGACCACCACAGGGTGCGCCTCTCCTTATCAATTCTTCTTTTAGCTGATCTAACTTTTAGGTACATAATTCATGCACAGGTAAGATATGAACACAATAGAAGCAAAAAACCAGGTATAAAAGAGATCCCCCCAACGTGCGTTCACCTTGTCGTGGTGGGGGGCTCAGTAGTGCCCGGCAACCCAACCGGGCGCGAAGCCAAGAAACGCACAGGGAGGTGGCCCACTTCGGTGGGCGGTGGGAGGTGGCCCTCTTCGGAGGGCGGTGTACCATGCGGGTTGCTCCTGGTACTTCTCTGATAGCAGAGTGGACTGTGGAGCAACCCCGTGGTTGTTGTGGTCTGCTTCGGCAGACCTGCCGTCGGGGCGTCGTAGTTGAATGCGTAAGCGATCCTGCGACGCCCCATTAAGACGGGGGAAGGTTTTGTTGGGTTTTAGTGGGTAGTACTGGCTTCGCCGGTGAGTCCCACACTTCGTGCGTAAATGCATTTCCCAACGTTAAAAAAAAAAGGTATAAAAGAGATATCACAATAAACCTGTCTGACCTCTGACTGCATGTAAATAGGTCATACGTATGGAGCCCTCCTTTCGAGAAATTTTCCCCATTTGATGGGTGGCTGGAATGGTGTGTACTGGTAAAACATGGAACATAACTATAAAAAAAAAAAGAATACTTGCAAAGGTACTAAGTGTATATCTAATGCTAAAATTTTTAATATTTTTCTTAAATAAAAAAAAGAGTACTAGTGAAAATGAAGTAAAACTTTTACTTCAGATTAAAGAATTATGACAGAAGTTTTACTTTATTAGAATTATTATAAAGAAGAACGGAATTCGCTAAAGTCAAAATAAATGTCAAAGTCAAAAATAGTAGCATCAATATGTATTTATACTCTATGAGTAGCATGATTTACTTTTTATGGCATGCTAATATTCTTGATTTTCCCATACATATCGTTTACTTTCTTTGAAGAATAAGGGAAATTTTATATTTGTATAGTTAAGTTAATATTCAAGTTTTGAGAATAACATATTATAAATAATAAAAATAATACTATATATGGGCAGTGGTAGCCCAGTGGTAACGCGCTCGCTTGGAAAACCGAGTGAAGCGGGTTCAAATCCCGGGTCTCGCACCTCTGATATTTTCGCGAATCATTTTTAACACGATTACCACTTACCTTACGGTGAAGGAAAACATCGTGAGGAAACCTGCATGTCTGAAAGAACCTAGCAAGTTTCCGAAAGACATGTGAAGTCCGCCAACCCGCACTTGGCCAGCGTGGTGGACTATGGCCTGTTCCCCCTCGTATCGAAGGGAGGCCTGTGCGGCGTGCCCAGCAGTGGGACGTTAAAAACTAAAAAGGGCTGAATACATTATATTCTTTTGTATTTTTCAGTATTCAAATTGTTATTTGTATAATATTTTAAAACATTATTGTTTGGCTTTATATTTAGTTCTATGACACTCTGTAGGTATATACTAGATATTCCTTAGTCTAAGCACTTATTAAATATATAATACATAGGTACATACGTGTACTAATGTACGTTTTCTATGAATAACTAATATACCTATTCCTAATTAAAGCTTAGTTGTTTATTAATGTTTGTTTTTTTTATTGTTTAAGTTGTTAATAAATATTTACTGGTTTCTATGGGCTTTTGATGGGATCCTATTGGAGTTTTTAAATAGGGTAATTGCAAGAATTAAATTTCTCTAAATTATGATATCACGTTAACGAGCATCATTGACTGTTACTGGTTAAAAAATAGGGCTAGAATGCCAAAAGCTCAAAATTCGCACTTAATAGTAAGGCCCAAAATATCCTACATAAAAATGATCAAAGATGAAAAATAAGAACACTAGGTACCTACTAATTACTATATGAAAATTAAAATTTCGTAATTTTCTGTTTTGATTCTTAGAATGCGTCGCATCGATCACGTAATTAAAAAACACTATCGAACAGGTTAGTTTAAAAATCCAAGGTTTGTGCCAACAGCACGCCTTGAAGAATCAAATTGAGCAAAATACGCAACAGTTATGTAAAACAATCATGGAAAATTTCAACTATAAAGGACCTAAGTGCGTGCAAGTAAATCTATGAAACAATTACAATTTTTCACTTGTCATTTAATTAATTCGTAAGTCACATTAGAAGCAAAAAACAAATGTTGATTGTTACGTAAAAACCATAATCTTTTTCTACTTTATATTACCTACTGAACTGAACGTGAAAGTAACATTCTTTCATTTAAACAGATTTCGATTTTTGTCAAGGACATACGTAGGGATATTGCATCATCGGGACGGACATACTACGGTAATGTTACATGTAACATTACCGTGGACATACGCTTAATCCCCGCTTCGCTTGCCGTGCAAACAAAACGTGTGAAATATAAAAAAATAACTAAAATAGAGACCAGTTTTTTGTTAAACTTGTTAAATAAATAAAAAGTTGATATTTAATTTAATAGGCATGTATAATACTCTTATGTGATAAAAAAAAAGATTAAAAAATAAATTATGTTTTTAACAAAAATTGTTTCATTTTCATGTAAATATCTAGCGTAGACTGAAGTAGACATCGCATTGCCAGTAGGTACGCATACCTTGACAGGTTCATTAGCAGTTTTTGCGTGAATTGGGCACAAAATTAGAGCGTGTTAATTGACCAACTCGAGGGCTTCATAAAAATCAACTAATTTGTAAAACTTCAGCTGCGGTAAGAGAATGGGTGACTCGGCTATTATTTTTATTCTGTATGGTTTATCAATTATAATAAATTAAAAAAAAATGTAGATATGCCGTTAGGTGGGTCTAATATAGGTATAATACATACATATATACGACATAATAATACAAAATGTTTAATTAGGTATTTATCTACATTTATTTCACCTTTCTCTGTATTTATTGTATTTTAAACCCAGGCATAAAGCATATATTTACATAATGGTATATACAAGTTATAATGTCCGGTGCAATCTCGGTAGGCACTGAGATAAAGGCGCCCGCGCAGTGACGTCAGAGCGGTCGCGCCAATAGCGCGAGCGATGTGAGGCGGCGCTACTTCTGTAGTACCGCCCACTCGATGCGTCGAGATGAGAAAACTGGGAAAATTCACTGTTGATTCATATGGAAATTGTGATAGGAAAAATGTAATAGCTATATTACAAGACAAATAAACGGTTCCGTAAAACACAATATTTATTATCATAGTAAAAAGATGTGGTAAACATAAGTAAGTATATTGCACCAATTTATAATTTTTACTTGTTGCGAAATTAATTAATTGTTACTTTAAACTTTTGTTCTGTTATATTTAGTAATAATTACTTAACAAATATAGGTTCTTACTTAAACCAACAAAAACACATAAAATATTATGTATTGAAACAAAAAAAAATTAAATTGTAGGTAAACTTTGATTTTACATCTGATAAAGTATTTACTCGCATTATTACTTTTCTTTAAAAACATAATCCAATCGAGAAGTAAACAAAATAAGTGAGCTTACTTATCGGTGCGCTCTACACATTTATACTTACCACCCGAGCATAAGGAACTCTTTATAGTCCGTGCGCGCGAGTCGGTCGCACGCGCACGTCCCGAGACGTCAAATTTGTGCTATATTTATAACTTTTGACATTATTATATAGTGGGTACCATGAGCTGGGATCAAGATCACAAGCCGACAGAGAAGGTGGAGATTAATGAGGCTGTTGGGAAGCTGCTGCTATCGTTTAACTATGATACAATTTTGCCTCAACCTACGAAGTACGTATTCATAAGTATATTTTTTGCTTAATTAGATTATTTTCTTAGTTATGCTTTGAAATGACATTGTTATGAAGTACTGTCGAAAAAGAGCATAACAAATCCATACTCCATACTAATATTCTAAATGTGAAAGTGTGTTTGTTTGTTTGTCCTTCTTTCACGTCGAAATGGAGAGACGGATTGGGGTAATTTTTTCTGTGGAGATACTCGTAGTTGGAGGGCTAGAGAGTCTCATCAGGCTACTTTTTATCGCGGGAGATTATCTCATTTCCACGGGAAATTACTTTTTAATACAATCCAATAAATATTTATGATCAGAATTACTTAAAATTTGGTAATAATGCTCTTCAATAAAATTAAATAAATACGTGTTTTAGCATTTTTCGAAATTTATTCTATATGGGCTAATATTTTTTGTAGTTTTAGCGCGAGCGAAGCCGCGGGTTCTACTACTATAATATAATTTGAGTACGTATAAAGACGTTAAATAAATGCTGCGATAGCGTAAGCCGATTCTTCAAATTACATATTGAACAAGTGCATTTTTTTTATCTGGTTTATTTTATGGATATACAACCTAATTTTTTTTTGTTTTAATGCTAATCTGCAATCAGTCCCAAACTATAACCAGATTTTATTTAGATTTCTTATCATGTCCCAGGAGCTCCTTAACAGGAGACACCTCATTCTTCACCATCTGTCACCATTTTTTGTATAACATAGCTTTTCAGACGCTTAGTGTAGCTGATAGTTGCTAGCGCGGTAGCTAAATCGTTTGGGTGATCTTCCAGCTGTGTTTTATATATATTCCCTGTTACTTTTAACTCCTCCTTAACAGATCTTATGTTCGGAGCTTCATGGATCTCTATGTTGGTGGTTTTCGTACATTTAAGATAGATAAATACTGGTTGATTAAAAAAGCTCAGGTGCGTCTTCCACTTCCTTAATGAACATAGAGATAGCGACAACTGAGTTCAATTTCTCTACTCTTTCTTTTGTAAAAATATGAAAGCATATCAATTATGTTAATTTTCTGTAAGCCCCAAACATACCTACTTCCAATACAATTGTAGAGAGATCAAGTCTATACTCTATATTTTTATTTTAAAATTAGAATACCTACGGTAACGCAGATTCTGAATATCATTTGAGAAAGTTTTTTTTTACTTTTTATTACTAAAAAAGAATTCTTATTAGAAAAAGGAAAAGTGTTTCAAGCACATTATTTTATTATATAGAAATAACTACATGATTTTCTACATACATATATATTTATACTGTAGTGATTATTAATCAAAAATTGCGTTACCGTCTTTATTAAAATTAAATTTAGAAAAAACCAACTTTGATTAAATTGGAGGATTTTGGATACAAATTTTATGTATATTATATATTAACACCTCCAGGTAAATTTCTAAGAAATTAATTAAATTTCTAAGAAATCTATTGTTAACTGTAACGCCGGGCGTGTCCGTGGTCATTGAGGAATTTGTGAAAAAATACTTGATTTGAATATACCTACAACACAGATTGTTATAATTAAACAAGCCATAATTTAACATCCAATTTATGCCGGGGTAGTCAAGAGAATTAAATATAGAGGTACCTAAAGGTATAGTATGGTATATAATCCCGTCAGTTTGTGAAACTGTTACATAGGTTTTATAACGCTAGATATTATTTGATTTAGAACTCCTTTATTGCCGGTAAGAGAAAAGGTCCCCAAAGGATATACCTAATAACAAAAGTTTTCATATAAACCTGCTACTTACAAAGTAATACTTATTCAGTAATTTATCTATTACTATTAAAACAAATAAATAAATACAATCAGAGCCTTAACGTTGTTATACTATTCAAGTTTATCTTTTCATATAATAACCATAATATATCTTAGTAAATTAAATCTACACTTACATTATGAGTAATTTACTCATTAGCGTTGTTGGCTAGATCTTAATAATATTAGGTTACAATATTTTAGTATTGTTACCTAGGAAAAACAACTTACATTATAAAGAACTAAAGTTTGTAAGTTTTTAAATTTGTTGTAGGGCAGTAATCTTTGAAACTACTGACCCGCTTTTGAAAATTCATACACACACATAATAGGCTATTTTTTATTCCGAAAAAAAATATTTACCTTATACTGTCAGAAATTATAATAACTTTAACTGAAGTAGGCTATTGTTAGGCATCTAGAGGCACATCCGACTCCCGAACGAACCGTGGTTGTGCCGCTAGTACAAAATAAGAAAAAGAACATAAGTTGTGCTTTAATTAATTATCAAACTTAGTACCTACTACCTACATATTTATTTTTTATTTATTTATTTGGATCCACTAGTGATAATTACATTGAAACATTTTTAAATTAATTACACAATTTAACTTAATCCTAAATGCTTTACCTTTTAAAGTGGATACAGCATGAACACAAATGCACAATTTTAAATTTTGATAAATTAAAATATAAATAAAATTACAATAATACCACTACACATAAATAATCGGAATTTGAAAATAAAACACACATACATAAAACCTATTAAATAATATGAAAGCATTAAACTTCAAAGAATAATTAATTAAATAATTAAAAAAAAACAATTAAAAAAAATTATTATTGAGACATTATTAATTTTGTATAAATTACATTTACATTACAATTACAATATTAGTTAATACTTTTATTATTAGGTATAACGCCGATCACATAACTCTAACTTTAAATTAAAATAATAAGCTAGGAAGGACCCTAAATATTTATTCAGCAACCTCAAACACACTCATTAAAACATAATTATTGTTACCAACCCGCAAACTCAAAATAGAGTCAACATTATAATTCAACCGTTGCTACTAATGTTAAGTAAAGTATACAGGCAAATATTTTTTTTTTCATAAGTAGTTTCAGATTACTTAAAATTGTTTTGGATCAAACATGACGACAACACGTTTGGCTCAGTTTGTATGACCCTACTTGCTGTGCCAGCGGTCGCGGGTTCGAGTCCCGCTGGGGGCATTCATTTGTGTTTTGAGCACGAATGTTTGTACTCCAGTCATGGGTGTTTATATTTATAATTTGTATGTATTTAAAGTTATACATGTGTAGTGTATCAACTATCTAGTATCCATAACACAGGCCTCGTATAAATTATACGCTTACCATGGAACTAGATGGTGTTGTGTGTACTGTCACAACATATTTATTTATGTATCAAAACTATAGCTCTTTAAATATATACATAGTATATTTAAAATTTTATTGATTAGGTATAAATAGTTGTATCTAAAATTTTAACGGCCTAGACTTGGGAAATAAGTATCTAAATCTTCTACTGATTTTAAGGACTATTTATTATAGTAGGGGAGCCCAAGAGGGGATTTTCTGTAGTTACTCAAGCGCGGCAGATTAACATAAAAGAGGTTACCTTGCACTCTATTGAGTACTTTCACCACAATAAAGTCTTCTATATAAAGGGGCGCGTCTAGGGAAGCCGATTATAATATTTAAAAAATGTTTTGATAAGGTAGAAATACTTGAAACCATCAGATTAAGGTGTGGTAGGCTAGTCACATCCTGAAAAGTGTCCAATTTAATAATCTGCCGATTTGCACAAGCCTAAGAGGCAAAAATCATCATAAACTTTATAGTCACCCACGCTCCGCTCGGGTTCGTCCCTGAGACGTTTTAAAGTTTAGTATAGATTTCTCAGGGATTACATATTTTCCCGCTGTAAAAAATATCCTATATGTTGACCCGGATAACCAGGTATCATCATACCAAATTTCATCAAAACTCAAGTTTTTCCGTGATGCGGTTACAGACAGACAGAAAGACAGACAAAAATTCAAAAAACTATAGATTCCGCCTCTGTATCAATAATAATGTCTATTTCAATAAGATTTTCCAAAATATATTTAATGTACAGATTCGGCTCAGTTAGAATTTTATAGTATTTATAGACTTTTTACCGCGGGAAAATATCTAATTTCTGAGAAAAAATACAAAAACTGCATTGTAAAAGTATACTAATATGTAAAACCTAAAAATTTTGTTTTTGGTCATCTGAACGCGGGCGGAGCCGCGGGCAATGCTAGTAATAAATATCGTAGATAATTACAGGTTGTAAATTAATATTTCTAAGCTGATGAAACGAAGGTGATTGAATGAGTTATATATATATGAATTATAAATGAAATTTCATTCCCATTATAGATATTATGACCATTTACCAATAAGTACAAACTAAAATGAAAAGCTCATTAACATAAAAAGTTTTAAGCAACAGTAAGGACAACGTAGGTAGCGAGCAGAGCAGATAAATGAATTATACGCTATTCCATAGATCAGTAATGGATATGACCTCAAATACTGAGAAATTGTTCTGTAATTAGTTCATATCTTACAATTACATTAAGATAATATCGACCCGGGGTCGGCGTAGCGTCTTCATAAAACCGACACTTGATGTACAACCTTATTGAATTCTTATATCTCTTATCAGCTTCTTATTAATAATTTCAGAGAAACTAGCGGCTTTTTATATCTATCTCTGCATATTCAATTAATAGTTTATTACATATAAATTACAAAGAGCTATTTTTTCATCATTTTTAAGGATAAAAATATTAATTTAAAATGTAGAATCATAAAGCCATTTCTTTACTTTTGATAGGGTTTATTTCATGTTACCGTAGAAGGCCGTAGTTTATGCTGACGTAGTTCGTGTGACAATTTTTATCTTCTTCCTGTTACCGATTTATTTCCGCGCGGTGCGATAATGCGCCTGCGCAAACATGTCTTTTGTGGGGTGCTTATCTATTATAATATAAAGAGGGAGTCCCCCGGCATACCTTGATCCGGTTAGGATTATTCTTCAAGAAAAGTTTTATTATATTTCCAAAATCAATGAATAGGGATTGGGGAAGAATTTTGCCATTTTCTCCCGCCACATAGGTACATTGTAAAGCCATAATAGCGTGGATGGTTT